TTCTCCCTCCGTGTGTCCGGTGACCCAGAAGCGATGACTTGTGGAATATATGGCGTGGGAGTCGCACTCAGACTCAGAGCTGAACGCGCTTTGCTGGATTGGATCCCAGTGAACAGTCGTCTCTGCGCCGTCCGGCTATCCAGTTCAATCAAGCTCAATGCCTCGCGGCATAAAAAGCGGTACCTGTTTGTCGTGTCAGCTTATGCCCCAACGAACTGCAGTTCTGATGCGGAGAAGGATACTTTCTATCGAGAGTTATCCGGGCTCATCCGTCAGGCAAAAAGCACCGACATTGTGATCCTCGCAGGCGATTTGAATGCTCAAGTAGGTCATCTGAGCTCCTTGGAATTACATTTGGGTGGTCGTTTCGATGCTCGCCGCACAGACAACGGAGATCGGCTCCTGCAGCTGTTTGCTGATCACGAACTGTTTCTGGCAAGTACGAACTTTCAACATAAACGTTCGCACCGCGTAACCTGGCGGCCGCCAACTACAAATCAACCGTGGACCCAGTTGGACCACGTGGCCATCAGTCATGGAGAGCCACAATTCGAGACTGCCGTTCTTTCTGGGGTACACCACATTTCGAGCCCAGTTTTTAGTTACTTCATCATATCGAACAGAATTGTCCTATTAGCCAGTGTGATACAGCCAGAAGATGCTGTCTGTCCCAGGAACTTGAATTCTGTGGTAATCGTGTCCAGGTTTCCGGGCTTCGGATGAACGGATTATATCGTGGATGGCTTGACTTTCAATATCCAAGACGATCCTTACATTCCAACGTGCGACTTGAAGGGGGAAGACATTTCAACAACAGGGACATCAAGAACAAACGACCAGACGGGTAGTTCTACCCTACATCAAGGTTATATTTGAACTCAGCCAGATTATTAACTCAAAAAGGGATCTTCGTAGCCCACAAACCGGATGCTAATTTAAGGAAACTCATCTCAGACCGAAGGTTAAACAAGACAAACTCCAGAAGAACAATGTGGTATGCCAAATCAACTGCAACGAATTCTAAGCTGGGAAAAAATTATGCACACGACTAAAGGAGCACAGCGTCGCCGTCTTACCCTATCCTTGATATGCATACACCAAGCCCTAGAAGACTACAATTCAATCTAGATAACGCGAAAATTTTGGCGGCACGAGACATAGAAGGGAATTTCTGATACTCCGCGCAGATTCAACCAACCGATGCATTGAACTCGATCCAATTTCCACACCATTACTAGCAAATGACCAACATCTGAAACGGAATACTCAGAGAGCCAAATATCGGCTTCAAAAACCAAGAACCAATGATCCGCTTGAAGTCGGATCGACAAAAGGCACTAGCCGGAACCTAGAGGATTCAAGGACAGAGGTCACTCCTGCATCCACCAGAGTACGAGGGCAGGAGAGGTCAAGCTCGAAGATCACGCGGTCATCGATCAATCAAGACAGGATAACAGAGCAACCAATGGAACCACCCAACCAAACAGCCAATCAGGGTCGAAGGTCAGCCCCGGCTAAGAGCATGCATATTAACACACACGTAACACTGTTCAACGCGCTACGACCGATCAGTCGCTGCGCCTCACTGCGCTGCCTAACAACGTACTGATGATGTCACCTCGGTTGTGGATAACACGTTGGCAATCAAATTGCTCAATTCATCGAACAAACCAACGACCAACACTGCTTCTAGTTAATTAGTTATTAGTCCGCGGGAAGCACTCACAAACACACCATCATTCCAAACCTGGATTTGAATATGCTTCCTATAACGCTCTAAAATATTCGGGTCAGTCGCACACCAGTAGAATAAAATAGATACTTGGAGAACCTCAATTCAGTACTGGTTCATCTTTTCCACTGTGGAGAATACGTTGCCAAAGCAGTGAAACAACAACTAATAAAAAACATCATCTGGTTTAGTAAAGAAAACGTGGACAATTTCGTTTGTCCTATTGGGACAGATGAGGTGTCCGAGATAAACGTTGTTAATCAGTTAAACAGAGAAATAATTTGGATCTACCATACTGCTTCTTCTAGGGTGGTGCAGACTATGGAAACGGTACTTTTGAAGACTTTAGTTCTACGCAAATATCATTTTGTGGTTTACCGGACAATGTGTTAATTTTTACGCGTTAGTATATATTTCAAAACCACATAGATAGTCACGACTCTAGTACATCTGAAAAGTGGCACGCCTAACGGAACTGCGTATAATACAATTACCGACCTATTTCTAGTGGTCATTAATCTCCGGAGCTTATCTCATAGATTTTTGTCACATCTGGTATTTCAAGTTGTTGGGCAAATGTGATAAAGCATCTTGAATCACCTGTACTCCGACGGATGGGTTCGCTATCACTCGCAATAAAAGGGTTCCGACATTCTTTCCATATATCCTTTGGTTGATCTCCGAGATTGTCTGGTTAAATTTACCACAAGCATTGTTAATCTTCGCGTTTTGTTTTTTTTCTCCAAATTCAGGCTGTTCCCTTGCTGGTTTCTTCTCAACGTCTCTTCATGCCTGATCCAGTTGGCTTGCGCTTGCTTCCGTTTTCGGGCGTCCGTGCGGAGTTATCAAACTGCGCAACGATTGCAACAGCCATCTATGTCATTTTGGCCGAGAATCAAGCCAGTCTTGTACCACCTGATTGCGAGGCATCACCACCTTCGCATGACTCATCTGTAGAATTTATTGATGAAGACCGGTCATCCCCAAGTCCCACTGATCCGGGGCTACTAGTCATGCTCGTTGCCTTGGTCCCGACAGCTGCTTCTCGCCCGGAAGAGATCGATCCCATGCGCATCAACCATCGACTAGATCGTTCGCATCTGTCCCGTGTGATAAACTCTAATCGCCAAACAAACTTTGTCACTTTGGTTGCCTTGGTCGATATTGTTCAGGTCGATGATTCAGGTTGGTGTTCGGTACAGGCACTTCCATGTTACGTCACTTCGATTTTAAGGCATTTCCTGTCTTTTTCTGTGTTTGTGGAGAACAAATGTGAGAGTAGACCTGGTTGGCTGCTCAGCTAAACTAAATTTGTGGATACTTACCAAGCACAACCAAGATGCTGGATATGCTGAACGTCTTTGGCTATTTTCATATTTGTTCCTCTACTGGTTTGCCAGAAAGGACAACATCTGAAATGTGATGTTTTCTTACAACGAAGTGATGAACCGAAGTCATTTTGGTTGTTTCTGTGCTCTCGTCCGATTTTTTTCAAAATGTCGATTGACGAGCATCAGTAAGATTCTACAAACCGACCTGAATTCATGCCATCACCTAGTCCAGTCACTTTAGTCGAGTGGCATCAACTTTTCGAGGTCCTTACACATGAGTGTGTATGTTGTAAAAGGGGGAAGTGTCATGCATAGTTAGTATCACTTGATCCTGTACTTCTCCACCTAGATCGTCCTTAGTCGATGAAGTGTAGGCTCCGCAGATACTCTCGGTAGTTCCCTTCGAAGCGCTGATGTTTTTTCAATAGATATTTCATCCTGCCAGTGAAAAGCTGAGGAGCACTGTGCATCCGTTTGATCTTTGTTGGCAATCATCAGCAGTACGCATTCCACGAAACGCAGGGTCTTGAACCCGCCACCATCCAGCCAGTTGATGAGCACTTAGCCATTTGGCCAATGATTGACCGATTAATAGTTTGTGATTAGCTCTCGCTTAAGTAGAACATAGCGCTACTCATCCTTCATTAACGGAAACCACATCACCCGGTCACGCATTGGTGGCTTCTCGGTGCTTTATTCGGCGATGAATCCAAAAAAGCGGTGGTAATAGTTGTTGCGTGCTTTTATACGCATCCTGCTCTAGGGGACATCAGGAAATCCAAACACGAGAACATGTTCTGTATGGAGAAGAAAGGTGTGTAAATGGGTACCTCTGAAAACTGATACTTCAGAACAGCGAAAAGTTTGTCTTAGTCCTGAGGGTGTTCGTTTTTTGAAGGAGTACCGTGTGTGTATTAGTAGACTAACTCTCGTTTTCACCTTGATGCTTCATGTGTAATTAAATGAGTCCTATGATTCTACGACAATGAAACAAGTGTCAAAAATGACGCCGTGCGCATAACTGGGGTCGCCGGTCGCGTGTTGTTGATGTTTGGAGTGTAAGGGTTGCTCTTCCGGACAGATCATATGCTCCGCGGTCAGATTCCTAGCGAACTGGGTGCAGCACCCAAAGTAAATGAACCGCCTAAATTTCGTCCGGCTGTTTTCCCCACTTCTGCTTAGTGAAAATCGAAATTTCCTCTTGACCATTTTTTATTAGTAGGGTCTACTTCACCATTATTCTCTTGCTTTTTTTCAGACACTGGGACACCCACTCTGAAAGTAATAATTCACCAACGTCTCCATCACTTTCCAGAATTGGCATTTCATGTTCAGAGTACGGACTGAAATTTTGCTATTGAGGCGGCTTTATTCACCATCTTTTTATGTTCACTCCTTAACCATTTTATTTTGACAATCGGACTATCGGATTCGCACACTTTGCGTATCCGTGCACTATCCATGACCACCCCATATTTGCTCTGGGTCTTTTTTGTTGCATCCCTCTATCATGGTGACGATATTGCATTTACTTTCTCTGCTGACTCGCCATCTCTAGTCCTTTTACCCGTATTGTTGTACTTTATTTTTTCATAACTTTCTTATCCTGGTGTTTGATCTCCTAAATGGTGCGTGCAATAAATTAATGGATAAATAAATAAACACGTGTTTTGAGCACCTTATTCCATCGTCATTCGTGTGTTCCTCTATGATGGAGGTTTCAAGTACATTCATGCAATGAAGACTCCATGATTTTGACCAATAAAAAATTTAGTCCGGGTGCCGTATCGCCACTGCACCCCTGCTTCACGTGTATTTAGGGGATCACTTTCAAGACAGCTTGAACGGTTAATCCCCGTCCTAAAAGTGGGATGGATTCTCTGGAATTCCACGTAGTTCTGTTTGCACAAATAGCTGTCAGTAAATCGACCCTTGTAAAACAGTACGACAGTCATCCAGCTGTGCAACACTTTCGTTGCCTAGCTCCGATGTCACGTGCTGTCTAGGAAGCACGAAGGCTTGGATACCGCCACGTTGTCCAAGTCCAGACACGATGTGCTGAAGTTGGTGTCGTACTGCGGACCGTCTGGTCATTGACTTCGCGGACCTAAGCCATCTCGTACCTTGACCCTAGTATTCCTAGTGGCTATTTCCAGTATTTTCACGTATATGTTGGTAAAGCGTTTGTGAATACTTCACTCTTACGGAGGCGGAAGCTCCACGCCATTGGAAGAAGAGAGCAGGCGCTTGTTCGACGATTGCTTATATGTCGAAGTTAACGAAGGGCAGCCAGACGGACACTACCTATGGTGGTGAACCCATGAGAATACTCCGTAGGCTTTCACGCGCCCGTTGGCATCGGAATGGCGGAACTGTAGAGGTGTGACGAAAATTGTTCGGCACGTTTTCGGAAGAGAGACGCCCGAATCGGTCGGGCACTTCCTTTACATCTAAGAAGATAACCATTTCTACTGTCCAAGTTGTTGCTGGTTAAGGTATCCACGACCCGGAGAGAATCCTTTTTGTTTTTTACGACTCTGCCCTGGTGAGTGCTCTAGGGCTGCGTAGGATGATACTTTTGCGCAACTTGGAAACGAGACTGTCCGCATGGCATTCACATTTAGATCTAACGCTCTTTTAGCAGACAGGAACGAAGTTGGAGATCCGCCACTCGTCTGACTAATCCTTTGTCTGCGTGATTTTTGTCAGCTGTGAACAAGTGCTTCTCGTGCACCTTCAATCAACTCAGAGGAGGCACTCAGGACTGTGTGGTTTGTTGCGCTTCAAAAGTTCAGTTCCATCTGTAGTGTTGTCTTGTTATTTCGCGTCCCAATGAAACATTTGACGTGTCGGTCGTTATGGTGGGATCCTCAGGCCAGCTATTTTTTTCGAAGCAGGTGGCGGGTTTGTAATGGTCTCTTGAGCCGTCGTGTGTAATGACTACTGGCTGGCTGCTTTGTCCGGTGTTGCGGGGGAGTCGGAAAAGAATTTTTTCAACCGACGCTGCTTTTGTTTTCTTGGCTACCTGGCTACCACTTCTCCCAGCAGTCCCGAGACTACCTTTCAGGCGCCGTTACGGAGATCCTGCTGGAGCACTTTGTCATCCTTTTGTGGCTCCCTTTGCCTCCCTTAGGGATATAGATTACTGTGGTTGATACGATCCAGGTCCGATAGAGACAGATACCATAACCATCAGTGTGATTTCGAAACGGTCGCACTATTTTGAGAGTAATCACAACCATATGGATCTGCGCAGCTTGTGAGTGCACATACGTGGACAAAACAGCGTTTGTCGGTTGCCAGCTTGCTTACTGTAAACCACCTTAAACTCCCCAATAATTTGGGCAAACCCTCTCTCATTTCAAATCAACCTCCACCAGATTGTACTGTCATATTACGAAGTGACAATGCCTGTGGCCGCAGCATCCATATATTCTAAGGCACCTCTGAATCGCCATTTCCCGGAACGCAGTGTTATTTTGATTTGGTCACTAATCAGGTAGCTGTTAGTTTGATCACCGAGCATGGCAGATGACTTGCAGACGTCTCGTCACCATTAAAGGAGACATCTCCTCGAACGTCTGCAGGTCATTCGCCAAGCTCTGCCTGGCCATCTAACAACAAATTCACCTGAGCTACCAGTATTCCAACACGCTAGTGTCTGGGTGAGGTACTGTATCTTTCTGAAACCTTAGGAGGTTGTTTGAAAATATCGGCTTTCCAGTGTGGAAGAACTCATTGTTATTATGCCATCACACTCAAAACTGCACAATGCTCTCAGCAGCCTCTGTGAATTCGTCCGCTGATCCAGTTCAGCTGGACTCGCGTCGGTACCTGGAGTCTGTATATAGTACCAATTGAGCTTTAGATCAATGCTTACGGTCTGTCTACTACCATTCTATTCATGGTTGTTTGTTTGTTTTCATCGATGAAATGCACCAAAACGATTCCGGCAAATTTTGGCAATGTTAGAGATCACACCTGTAAAGTGTATCTAGATCAGAGGGCACATCTTATGGATGCATCTAGGTATGTTTGAAAATTTGGCACTGGCTGTAGTAAATTTTCCATGGTAAAAGTGCCGAAAACGCCAGACCAGGACGTTTTGACACAGAGGGCGTTCGGCATCCAGAGTGAGTGTGATAAGATATCACGAACCAAAATAATGTACAGCCGAAAAGTTATCTCCCCTCAGCATGGTTATCGTCTATCCGGCGTTTCGATTCCTACCTCCAAGAAGTTACTTAAAATTAGGACCTACTGCGCCATCGTCAACTCGTGGGCTACCAGCATCCTAAGTAAATGGGAACCTAAATTGGGGCGATCGAAAAATGGTGG